AACTGGATAAGTTTGAAATGGTTAGATAAATAGAATGAAATCTAGTTAGTAGAAGGCTCTTGTAATCATACATAACACATGTCCAAACAAATGTATCTGTTTTCCATTTCCTACCCACAATTTTCAAAAGGATATGAAGAGATGGTAATCGTAATTTTTACAGTAGAAGTAGAATACAGTAAACTAACTCTTCAAATGCTGAAGTACTATTCACTAAACTGTTGAATTGTGATGAGGACGAATATTTGTTCAACAGATATGAGACAGTCAATATTTCCTCATTGCTACTTGTCAGCGGGGAAGGTAAAGTAGTCAGCTACACTGAAGAACATCGAAATAGGTGGATAGAGCACTTTAAAAAACTCCTGAATCGACCAGCTCCGCTGAACACACCCAACATTGAAGCAACAACCACGGACATCGCATCGCGTTGCATTCATCAATCTATATGTATGTGTGGACACACATACATAAGGAGGAGTAGTAGGACAATGCGATCTACCAAGAGTCATGGCATGTATGCCTAAATGGCTTCAAAATCACTTACTATCAAATGATGCGATGAAGGTGGGAAAAAGAAGCCTTGTCATAGTTGCCTCATCCTGTAGAAAGACAATTTGTTTTAGCCCTTAAATTTACTTACCCTGATAATATCCAAACCATTTTATGGCCCAGGGATATATGACAATCTACTATTCTCTGTATATATATACCATGTTAATTTTCTCTCTCTTTTGTTTACAATTATCGCCTTATGTTTATTTGAACTTTTATTTAATTGACCTTTTATTTGTTTTCTTAGAAAATGCCTTGACAAATATATGTGTGACCAGATTGTTTGAAATGTATAGCGCTAATACATTTTTTTTTCAGATGAACTATGCCATCTCGTTGCTTTATCATAATATCTAATGATTTCAAAAATACGAGAACTGATGATAGAAAAAAATGTTGGAAATAATAACAATAATAATAATATTAATAGTAATAATGAGAATTTTACTAAAATGTGACTGATTTACCAACACGTATATCGTTACTATATCTTGTTATCTGAGCCTTATTGTTTATTTCATGACGAACATTTATAATATTAGCTGATTAGTGCTAGTAAGTAAGATATCCTGGGTCTAGCAAGCTTTCATGTTAACTGAAACCCTTCAGCAGAGCGTAATTGTTGGTGGTAAGGGAATTAATGTTTCTGGCGAGACTCTGACCCACGTCACCCATCTTCATAGTCTATAAGAAATATTACTATTGAGTTATATATATATATATATATATATATATATATATATATATATATATATGTATATATATGTATATAAATCTTTGTTGATCGTTGCCATATTTTTATGTGTATCGTGTGATGTATAGTAACAAGTACCAGTATTCTACAGATAATATCATCACTTATGCTCTCTCCCACCTCTCTCTTAAAACACAATATCTTTCTGTAGGATATATATTCATTCTTACAATAATAACTGCTTCTCTTTCATTGCCAAAAAAAAGTACTAACTGTTCTAAAATAGTTCTATGCATATCGATCGATTTGGTTTTTGTCATTTTTATTTTTATAGGAATCCATAGTTTAAATCAAAGTAGCGCAACAATCCTTTAGGCAGTTGATATATATGTAGGTTTGTGTCGGTGTGTGTATGTGTGTGTGTGTGTATACAACACGTAGGACACTTAATCAATAATAAAAGATGAGTGCATATTCAATTGTTATTTGAATGCGCCAATGATTAGAAACAATGACATTAGATTTTAAACAAAAATAAATATATTGTATTCAACAATAAATAAATCTAAATATCAAATGGTTATTTAGTGTGTATTTTTTTTACGCATAAAAGTTTATGGTAAAGTAAAGTAAATAGACGGAACGAGATGTGTAGTGGTGACCCATTTTACAAAAACAAAACAATGTATCATAGTTTGTTTTTTTCTTTTTAATTAAACCAAAATGCCATAAAATTATCTAACAATTCTATTATTTAGCTTTTAGTTATTGTAAGGATAGACTATAACTAGTTAATTATGATAATAGTTCAATTTCAGTCATTTAGTTATATATTCCAACTAACTTTATTGCCTTACTAACTGGGATTCGAAGGGTTGAATATCATTAATGCATTTAAATTTATATAAGAACTTCTGGCAAAAAACCAACTAATTGAAATTTTGTAAAAACTATCAGTTGATCATATATCAATAGATCGAAACATATTTTATCAAGGATAAATTGTTGTGGTACTTATTTACTTATTTATGCCTGTTTACCACCTATCGAGCATAGACCGGCAACCAGTATTCTCAAACCTCTAACTCTGTCCGCCGCCTTCCTTTCTAGTTCTGTCTAATTTTTGTACATTCTTCACATGTCTATCTCCATTTCTTTGGCCAGCCTCTTTTCCTTTTACCTTGAGGTTTCCAAGAAAAGGCTTGTCTTGTGACTCAGTTGGATGCTTCCCGTAGTGTGTGTCCTATCCACTTCCATCACATCTTCCTGACTTCCTCCTCCACTAGAATCTGGTTTGTTCTCTACCGCAGTAGATTGTTGCTGATGGTGTCTGTCCAGTGAATCCAAAGTATCTTGCATAGACAAATGTTAATAAACACTTGTAAGCTGCATCCCTGCTGTCCAATGTATGCTGTGCTTCCCTCCAGATGTTGACATCTTCACGAACCAGTCGATGACCAGGAGAAAGAGAAAGAGTGAGAGTGAGCAATCTTGACAGACACTGGTCGTCACTTCGAACGAATATGTCGGCTGTCCTCCGTGCATGATTTTGCAGTTTAATTCATCATAAGAATTCCGTATGATGTTGACTATCTTCTCAGACACTCTGTAGCGTCGAAGAAGCCTCCGTAGGGCTGTCCTGTCCACCCTATCGAATGCTTTCTCGTAGTCGATGAAGTTGAAGTAGAGTGGTGAGTTCCATTCAACTGATTGTTCCAAAATGCTGCGAAATGTTGCAATTTGGTGGGTACACGATCGATCCTTACGAAATCCAGCCTGTTGATCTCGAAGTTGCGTGTCTACAAAGTCCTTCATTCTCTTTAACAACACCCTGTTGAAGACTTTGCCTGATATTGAGAGGAGAGTGATGCCTCTGTAGTTGTTACACATGCTGAGATTGCCTTTCTTTGTCATGTGGATGAGGTATCCTTCTTTCTAGTCTGTTAGCACTTGTTCTTCATCCCAAATCTTCTTGAAGAGAATGTGGAGTATCTTTGCAGTTACTGCTACGTCTGCGAATTGTTGTGGTAGAGATCTACAAGCATTTACATCCCATATATCAAAAGCTAACCACTTTTTGAATAGAAGTTGACATATCATGTATTATCAATGATGACCGAGTTTCAGAGACCAAATCCAACTAAACCAGTTGTTTCTACTCATAGTTATTGAATAGGTGAGGACTTTCAAAGAAGTTCATACACAAATACAATGAATTCCATGAATGATTGTGTGATTTACAGACGACAATATCAGATTAATTATTACAAGTGCATCTTGGTGAGTGTCAGCTACTTCTGGTGTGTGAGGTGTGTGATAAGTGATTATAAGTTTGGAGATCAATATTCGATAAATAAACTAGTTGAAGGAATACAAACCTTCATACTGTTCAGTTCAATCGATCTAATTCAAAGAACTCGAAGACTAAGAACTATAGAACCAAGCAATTTAGTCGTTAAACAACTTCCATCACTTAAGCGATCATTGAGAACATACGTGATAAAATATAAAGCATTTTACCACAGGAAGTCATTAACATCATCAATGATACAAAGCCTTATTAGCGAAATGACACATAAGGTACGATAACGTTAAATTTGTAATGTTGTCTGGTCCTGCTGCCTTATCGCTCTTGATTGTCTGATGGACATACTGGTCTCTTGTATTATTGGTGGGCCTACATCGATTGGGAGGTCCGTGGTTGTTGCTTCGATGTTGGGTGTGTTCAGTGGAGCTGGTCGATTCAAGAGTTTCCTAAAGTTCTCTATCCACCTATTTCGCTGTTCTTCAGTGTTACTGATTACTTCACCTTTCCCGCTGATAACTAACAATGAGGAAATATTGACATATAAAGCATTTTACCACAGGGTGTAATTTCCAGCTGAACTGAAAACATCAACGATGATATACTACTGGATTATTAGCGAAATGACACATAAGCTACGATGACGTTCATTTTGGAAACAAGTGAAAATCTGTTCATATTCTAGCATATTATTATTAATCAAACCCTCAGAAAGTAAAACAGTTGATGGGAGGAACATTACATATGGTTAGATAATGCTTCTAAAAATATTTATTACAGTTTAGAGAAAAAAATTTGAAACCTGTGAGAGATTTCAAATTAAACTCAATAGTAAGAATGATTGAATATTCACGTGAAACTACCTATGAAAATTGTGGAAAAAGCATTGTACAAAACACATGCCGACCTGTTTGTACAGAATGGAAATCGATGCCTGTATAAAATTCAATCGATTAGCAGAGTAAGATAGATAAAACTCAGACAACAACACAAGAATCTTCATGAAACTGATAAGGTTGTATATACACACTGGTTATAAATGGTAAGCACTGTTGTTTGCAAATCATAAGCAGAAGAAGAGAATCTGTGAAATAAATGAATTCACCTTATCAGGCAACATTCGCTATTCCCGATTTAGTCAAATTTATCCATAAGAGAAACTATCTGAAACAGCTATGATGTCGGACATGTCTGCCGGTATTCCAACAACACTGAAATCAATGGTTGATATCTTTGTTCACTGAAATACTTCTTTACGGTCGACTCATTCTATTAGACTAACAAGCTTTTTCATACAGTTGAGAGATTTGCTATTTCGTGCATTGATTACATTTTGTACGATGCTCTGTTTCATCCCCACACTGTTTCACACACGATTGAGTTAGTGACTGAAGTCGAGTGATCATATCACTGAACAATAGTGATAATAATAATGATAATAATAATAATAATAATAATAATAATAATGATAATAATAATAATCATAATGGCGATTCGATCTGTCACAAAATTGAAGTAGATCAACTAATTCTACAGGTCATATGAGATCAATATAGACGGCAGATACATATATAGATTCAATGTACAAGGTGATGTGAATTTACAACAATCAATGTAGGTTTTAGGTTCCAACCAACTGTATTTATCTTGATGCACGTAGCCAATATAGTACAGTACACAAAAAAAGAAAATATGATGAATATTTTGTGAAACTTGCATTACTTAAACATCTAAATAAATATGATGTTGTTCTGTACAAATAATTTGTGTTCTGATTGTTAAAATCAGGAACATCGGGACCAGGCAAAGGAAGAGGTGGAAACATTGGTGTTGCAGGCAAGCTATAAGCAGGATACAAAAGATGTTCATCATTACTACTACTATAATTACTATTGTTATCATTAACATTGTTATATATAAATATTAAAGTATTACGTGATAATCTCTCGACAAATAATTTACAATCAATACAGCCGTTCTGAATTTCAATCATCTGTGAATAAGTGATATGATGTGATGAGTTATCACAATTGTCCTTGTCGTCATAATCACCTGCACCATCAACATGATTCGCACCGTTATCATCATCATCATCATCATGTTTCTTGGTGTGGTTGACTTTACAAATAACTTTGTTCAATGTTGTAGACATTGTGTTCAATGGTGAATTGATTAATACTTCATCATTTAGGTGATCAGTTCTTTGGTAGGATATGTTTTGTACATTTTTTATTTTCATTTTATGTGATTTGTAAGAAGCTTCAGTGACAGGAATGCAATTTGAAGAATTCACAAAATCCCTGATGATAGTTGTTCTGACTGGGACAACGCGTCTTTCTGATACATTTTGTGTAGAAATTGTCAGATTGGAATCCGATTGAATTTGTATGATTTCGGCACTCAACAATTCTGACAGATCATTTCTGGAATAAGACATAAAATAACAGTTAATAAATAGATTTCATTAACCTTAGAAGAAGTAAGCCAATTCAAATAATCGATTCTCAATCAGTTATTAACTTTCTAAAGAATAATTACTACTGAATAATACAGTTACATAAATAAAACTCTTTCGTTGGCACAAAAACTTAAAGCACAACAAAACAGCAACAACAGCGTTCCGAACCGAAACAAAATATCAGAATAAAGTTTTCATTGCTGTGTACTTCGTAAACAATCTGAACAAAAAATTACGGTCATCTGCGATACACAAATGATTTAATGCTTGTGCACAAAACAATTCATCTAAACATATTCTAGCGAAGTAATGCTATTTTGAAGATAAAATGGTCCGTGAAAGTATCAGAAATGTTAAGATTTCAGGTGCACCGACTCTTCGTATGAAGAAACTACCATCAACAATGCAATCGTCAGGAATAGAAATGAGTGAAGTGACAAAGTGAATCTTGCCCACAAACCAACTCTTAATCACTCCACTCGGTTTTATTCAAAACAGAAAATGCATTGGTGAAAGAAGATTGATCCAATATCACTGACAAAACAAGTTGTCCCAATTGTGACAAACACTAAACTGTACAAGAAACATGCCCTCTTCCACTACACACACATTTAGCGGCTCAAAACTTGACTCTAGAGTGGAGCGAATCGGAGAAGGCGACTGAGACAACTATCATTCACTGAAGCAATGATTAAGTATTTGTAGTCAGACTAGACATGCAATAGGCGAGTAGTCATGCACACACACAATCAAACGTACAATAATCGATGCTGTTGTCGAATTATTACAAATAAAAAATTTTGATCGAGATAATCATCGAATCATTTAAAGGACAAATCATTGAAGTATAATGAATGAAAGGTGGGATGTTACACACACACACATAAACAAACAAAACTATCAGTGAAATGTCACAGTATGTTATCACTAGCATCAATCCATTCGGAAAACTACTACACTCACTAATTGACTGGGAGTAAGTACGTCAACATTCTGGATTGTAGTGAGTATTGTGAGAGTGCCAGAGAATATTCGCAAGCCCGACATTCATGTCAGTCATTCAAGAATGATGACATTGATTTAGATCGGATCTACAAACCCGTTTGATAAAGCTTAATCAGTAGTGACATGACGGTCAAAACAAGTATCAACTAACTGTACAGAATAAAAGTGATTTCATGTACGCAGGTGGTGGACAATATTCAACAACACTTACCCACCAACCAGTATTGTCGAAATGATGTCACCATTGTCGATTGAATGATCCGTTGGCGTTGCAATATATGATTCGGTGGCTAATTGTTGATGGTTGGGATCCATCAAGACTAATGCTGATGATGATGATGATGAGGAGGAGGAGGACGAGGGAGATGACAACGATGGTGACACTGATGAACATGTGACACTGGCTGATAAGTCAGCTGGTGTTCTTGACACTACGCTCGAGTGTTTCTTCTTCAAACAACGCTTGTCTAGATCGGTTTGACTATGAACATTTGATTGGATTTCTGTGACAAAAGTTAAGCAGAGAAATCGTTGCATTTTTTAGGAGATAACAAGACAATGATGAGAATTGATGCAGAGAAAATAGTTTTCGAATTGCGATATAGTTAACCAATCAACGACATTTGTCGAGAACTTATTTTTCCCTTGGTAAAGCCCTATAAACAGATAGATCCCCTTGTAAGTGCACAGAAGAAATGGGGTAGTTTTGTGAAAGTATAGTATGGTAAACTGAGACACTTTACCGAATACCTGAGAACGTTGGCGAGATATCCCCTATTTATTCAATGGAAAATAAGGATTCAGTAAATTTGCTTGCATAGAAAATTGAGCTACATCTAGAGATCATTCGAGAATTCATCTTATCTTGCTACATTCGCTATTCCCCATTTAGTCAAATTTATCCATAAGAGAAACTATCTGAAACAGCTATGATGTCGGACATGTCTGCCGGTATTCCAACAACACTGAAATCAATGGTTGATATCTTTGTTCACTGAAATACTTCTTTACGGTCGACTCATTCTATTAGACTAACAAGCTTTTTCATACAGTTGAGAAATTTGCTATTTCGTGCATTGATTACATTTTGTACGATGCTCTGTTTCATCCCCACACTGTTTCACACACGATTGAGTTAGTGACTGAAGTCGAGTGATCATATCACTGAACAATAGTGATAATAATAATGATAATAATAATAATAATAATAATAATAATAATGGCGATTCGATCTGTCACAAAATTGAAGTAGATCAACTAATTCTACAGGTCATATGAGATCAATATAGACGGCAGATACATATATAGATTCAATGTACAAGGTGATGTGAATTTACAACAATCGATGTAGGTTTTAGGTTCCAACCAACTGTGTTTGTCTTGATCCACTTAACTAATTTAGTACGTTACACTTTCGTAATTACTAATGTACACATTCTAATTCTGCTTATGTTATGAATTCCATTCATTTGTTGTGATAATATTCAATTTGCAGTGTGATATTTTGTGTATGTGCACATCTCACCGTAATCTAGTGAGATGAAAGTAAGCAAATGAGATTTAATATGTTGATCAAAGTCGTATCAGTCATTTTCCTGACTATTAATCCCTAGTATCAGTTAAAACAAAGAACAAATATTCTGCGACACTTTCAAATTCTGCCGATATTCAGATAAGGAAATCGAAATACTTTTAAAGTAGCAATAACAAAATTATGAATGTTAACAATAATACCGAAAATAGTAAATGTGATTTTACGTAGTTATAATGAAGAATATAGTGTAGAACAGACTTGGCTATTCTGCACTGACTTATACGAAAACAGTCAATCAGGTACTTTCCGCTATGCTGATTCTTGTTACTTGACCAATAACCTGTATATATAGGTTCATAACATCAGTTTGCCAAGTATGTGCATAACGAGTACTCAGTACTTTACTCAGGTTTGTGTTGTAGTTGACGATAATTATGTGTCATTGAACTTGTCATTTGATATTATTTTCGATACTGAATAGAATCCATCAAAATGAACACGTCTGTCACTTCTGTATTGGTAAAAGTGTTATCTACACGTGACCATGAACCAATTATCTACAGATATTCACAAACCACGATTGAATTATACATAACACTAAAGAAAAAGAATTACCTCCGGTGAATGATTGCACAGCCGTTATTGACAAATGATCATCATTTTGAAATGATGGTACGACTAGTGACTTGATTTCATCTTCTGAAACAATTTGATGAATTGGTAAATAATTCAATGGACAGTTATTCATCAAGTATAGCTTGACATGTTGCATGAAAGTGAATGGTTTATATTTTACAATCGAACTGAAACTATTCGATACAGTTTTGATTTCGAGTTCGACCGCATTTATAGGGACAACTTCAAGGAAATGACCGATTGTTGAAGATGTATCCGAACAACAAATTTCCATAGTGGAAACGTATAAATAAGCAGTCTGTAGAGTAGCCCTCTGTTTTATTAATGAATGTCTATTGAGAATAGCTTTAGAACTTGATGAGTGTGAGATATGTGGTCTAGATGTTGATGTTGACGATTGACGTTGATTTGTATTCGATAACCGATTACTGACGGAGAAAGAGGTGGAGGACGCTGGCACTTTCATTGAATATTGTCTTTGTGATGTGGACAGGACTGGAATTTGTGATTGGTTTTGATGGGATTGAGCAGCCGAATGTGGACGAGGTGTATCAAAAGTTTTATTTGAATCTTGTTTATTAATTTGTTTCAACGGTACTAAGATGTGTTTCTTCGAAGCACGTTTTAAATTATCAGTGAAGCAATTCACAGAATCACCATTTTCACTTACGCAATCCGATAACCTACTTTGATCCATGTTATTTTTTAAAGAACAAATATGCTCCGCCGAATTCTTAGGCTTCAAAAATTTCGTCGATCCCACTGACCGGTTCACATTTCCTGTTGTCTTTTCTGTTGTTGCAGTTACAGACGAGGTAGATAATCGATTTAGTGCATTAGAATTCTTGCAAGAATGCTTACATGAGTCGCTAGTGTCAACATTTCTTTCTTTCTCTACCATATGATAACGTGAACATTTAGGATTAGTCGTCGGAATGTAACCGATAAATTTATGATGTTGAACAGTTCTACGTTCCTGTTGCTGTTGTCGCTCTCCATGTGAACTTTTTTGTTGTTCTTCTTGATTTTGCAGATTTGCCTGATCATTGATATTCATTGCAGACGTTAACTGATTATCATCATGATTAAGATCGTTGTTATTCGTTGCATTTTCACAATCAGCAGAAGTTGACATATCTACGACATCTGACACATCTGATTAGCTTTTTAAAATAGGATAAAATCAATTGATGGATGATTTTAAATTACTTGTTAGTATTGATGACAGAAATCAATAGATCATGTGATGCTGACTGGAATAAAAGCGAGGCAATTGTGTTTGATTAGTGATTTATATGATGTTGGGAAAAGTGTATTTTTATGACGAAAGAGCTAGTGAGGGCTTATTTTAGTCTACTTCAGTGAGGTCAGTTGTTAATCTCATTGTAAAGCATTCAACATTTAATTAATAATAAGGATGGAAGAATACTGTTGAAACTGTAGAATTATCTTTACAGCACATTGTTGTCAAGTGATGTTCACATTCAATTCCTAGTTCTACATTCGGATTTAGTGCAGCGAGAAATGTGTTTGCAAATTTGAATTTTCTGAATTCCTACCAAAAGATGCACGGACTGACTAACATTGTGTACAGGCGCTATAGTTCTATTTGCTGACGGCACTGACCAAGCGGAGATTTTTGAATAATTTGAGTGGCAAATACAAGAATGTTCGAGATGCATTTCGTTTGTTTGAATGAACATTGTGGCAACGGTTTGTATGACGGCTACACCAGATTTCAGGCTTACAAATTTGTAAGACCTATCTAATTTCTATATATTCATATTATATCACAGCGGAGAGGTAAAATTAGCATAGTATGTAAAGACTAGCAGATTGTCGCATTTCCCTAGGCCAAAAAATGGTAAATTCAAGGCTACAGCAAATTGTCTGTTTACAGATGAGATGAGTATTGCTTTAGGAATAGACAAGGCCTCTATACACCTCAGAATCCATCCTTCACAAATTTTTCGAAGTCTGTCTTGATCTCAATCTTGTGCCTTGTTTCAATTCGGTGTTTTGCTATCAGCGAATATAGTCTTCCGTTTCCCCCGTTTATCGGACCATTTGATAGTAAGTGATTTTGAAGCCATCTAGGCTCATATACCATGACCAGTGATCTATCGCACTGTCTGATTTATCCTCCCTATGTATGTGTGTCCTCATAAACATCTTAATGGATGAATGCAGTGCGACGTGATGTAATATTTCAAGCAATGTTTAGGCATCTGTGGAATTATGGGATTAGTATCTTCAATTATAACAAGTTTAGCGGCGCAGTATGTTTTCTCGAGGTCTGCTATTAGGAATAATAGATCACACAGCTGTAGTCAATAAATAAATCAAGAGCCGAGTTCATAAATCATTCCCAGATGTTATAATTCGTCTACTTGTTATTGTGTCCTCTGTGGTGATTGATCCCATTTTTCTTCAGTATACTTAATACTTATTCAATCTCGCTGAGTACGGTTTGTTTCATACTTTCTGAGTTTGCCTTTATAAACTTTCGGCAGGTTGGTGAGGTCATTAAAACTCTGGGTATTTCCGATGTATATGATCATCACCAACAATATAGTGGATATCCCAAATTTTCAGTGGAATTGTGCGTATGTATTCGAAGATGTGGTACGTTTAGTAAAACTAATATCACGTACATCCTGGTGAACAAGTAGCGTTGAATTTCATTTAGTCACTATTCTAGATGATCACAGTCATAACTTTTGCTCGAAGATCATAAAATCAGTGGTAAAAATTAACATGCTACTAGTAACCTTGTGAGTATACTTACTGAATCGCTGTCAGTTACCATATTTGATCCGACGATTGTGAAGGGCGTTTTTAAGATAGGCTGATGCATTGGCGTGGAAATACTTCTCGATTTGCTTCAAAAAACAGTCGTTGTGCTTTGGTTTGATTTGATACATGGCATCATTATTACACGCTGCTCGACATCTGAGTTGTTGAAGCACTGGATTAATTGTTGTTCTGCTAGATCTACTACTATCCGGCCTTTTCCAGAAGATCGTTTGCAAAATATACGATAAATTCGAATTTCTCGGAAAAAAAACATCTCTTCCAAACTAAACGTTAGCTAACTGTTTGTCGTGAGGGTATATTTGTTATAATCTATCAAATAAATGATCTCCACAACAAGTTCGCTGTCACATTTCAAGTCTGAATGGAATACTTCGGTGATAAGTATGAGGGTGAAACTAACGGTGGCAGGTTGTTTCGCATTGAATAAGGTTAATTGTGAAGGTTTGAGGGGTTTGGAAAGTATACACTGCCTACTGGGACGTATTACGAAGGGGAATTTTGTGACGGTATGTTTCACGGAGAAGGAACTCTGCACTTTCCAAATGGAAGCAAATATCACGCAGTGTGGGAAAATGGAATATCCAAGAATGTTTGGAAATTTTAGCCTTATGACTTTTTAGGGAGAGATCATCTTTTCAGATAGCCTCAGATACAAAGTAGGGGCTCACTACGCTGATGAATTCGATAGGAGATTTTATACGGAAATATGTTGTGGTATAAAACCTGCAGGTAAAACCCTTGAAGTTGTTGTTTGTTTCTTTAAATATGACTACGTGTGCTTAATATCCTTCATGTTACTTAGACTCTTGAAGACATGCCAAGAATATAATAAAGCAGTTATTATTGATTTGGATTTTTTCGAAGACTCAAACTTTGTTAGGTAAAATTAGTTAACTGTCTGTCTATTGGGATTTACATCTGAGCAGTGTGTACTGGTCTTGGATATAGAAACGTATAGTTCTTTCAAATCTAAATGAAATATTAATTGGTTATTGGCTGTAACCAATTAGTAATGCCTTAACTAATCTACTTCATTACCTATGGAACGAAGGTAAGCGTTGGGCCCACTTTTAGGGAGATTTGAGGAAGGTATCATTACTTCTAATTGGCGCAGGTGGTTTCACAGCTTTATCGGTCTAAACTCGAAAACGTTTGTATGGGTATTTGTGTAAGCTCTTTTGTACTCTACCCTAAATTGATTCCCTTTACTTTAAAAACGTTTAAGTGGTCTGTTAGGGTGAAGATCACTCACTATGTGCGGTACCATGTGTCGTATTCATATTTCCCTTAATCATTTAATTCTGTTCTGGTTGCAAGTTAAATGTATCCAGGTGAGTAGGGGTATATTTATTAGTCCGAATATCTTTTGTTTCTCCTTTTTGAGAACATAAACATTCACAAATAATTCCAGAGTCAAGCTAGTCGTTTTTATATTTGCTCTAATATGAAAGTATTGTGCTTTGCGAATAAACTGGAGAATGACCAATGTATACTCAGAAAACGATGTGTTTGCTTGTTACTTGTACAGTAACTCTAAAAACAGATATTCCTTAACGACTGTACTTAAAACCGCCAAATGGACTTTCACGTTTTTAACACAAACGTTCACTAGTTCTAACGCTCCTATTCCAAAAACAAACCAGCGATACCAAATACTCATAGGAATTGATCCTCGTATGATAACCTGTATCAGTTAACTGCTGCTTTTATAGCCTTACTCGAAGAAGTATTTCCGTTAGCCAAATGGCGAGAACAATATTGACAATAAGAGGTTATATCTACGACTAAATACATCTTGTGCGATAAGACCATATCAATCTAAACGCCAGATATAAGCAATTTCAAATTAGAATTTACTGTCTCAGTAGGAAAATATCCTTTTGATTTCAGAGTTAAGAAATTACAAGATGACCTTAATACACCATATGCTTTATTTCCTTTCGTATTCATGGTTGAACATATAATCTGCTAGATGAGATGATCTGCATTTAAACCAACGCTAATACGCTTTTAATACAAAATTAACTACTTGTGTTCTCTAACCAGACTTCTCGAGACAAAATTATGACTATGTTGAATGTAAAACGCAATTACCAGCCCCACCGAGTAAATAATAAAATCAAATATCATTTGGCAAGATCATTTAATGATCATAATTAAGGGCCAAATATTATAGTTCCGACTGATAGCTATGATGATAATGTACACTATAATCTAAACTTACACCATATTGCTTAACAAAGTTCTTGTTATTGACATAGTAGGTGTCATAGAATTGCGTCTTT